CCCCTGGCTCGCCTTGCCCTGCAACAATGGCACCCCCACCCTGCCTTGCCTTGCCTTGCCTCACCCCACAGGAGGAGCCTCCTGCCCACCACCCCACCTGCCAGGGACCCCCTGGATCTCCCACAACGTTGCCCAGCCCCAAGCATCCCTCCCCACGAGCAACATTGAGGGGACCACGCCCACCTTGGCCACACCCACCCAATCTGCCATGACTATAGCCACACCCACCCAGTGGGCCACACCCACCTGGCACCTGGCGATAAATAAGTGGGTTTTGGCTTGCAGTTTGGGCACTTGGTCTCTAAAAGGTTCGCCATCCCTGGTCTATAACTATTACTTTTAACAGGGTTGTGTCTGATTGTGGAAGTGCCACCTGAATGGCTTTACCTGATTTAGTGTCATTCCACCTCACCTAATTTTGTTTTAATATGCCCTTACAATTTTGTGGTATGAATTACTTTAGGATGGCACTGTTTTTCACTTTAGAAGAAGCCCCTTGTTATTTATTCCTATGCATGTTTGAAAGGATTGCATATATTTGTATCACTTTTCCCCTGAAAGTGTTTGAGAGAGCTGTTCATTTGAGGTGGGGGGAAAACCTATTTTTGTGACCTTTTTAATCTGTATACTCCCCCCCCCCATCTGCTGCATTCCTTTCATTTTTCCCAGGTTTTTTTCTACAAGGAATTGTTTGAGGAATCTGGTGCATTTGGTGCAATTTGCATAAATATACAGATTTATTTTTTTTAAGAGGCTAACTTTTAATTAAGCAAATTTCTACTTTCAAGCTTTAATTTCAGGTAGTCCTTGACTTACAACCATTCACTTAGTGGTAGTGACTGTTTGAAGTTACAACAGCAGTGAAAAAATGACTTATGATCTTTTGTCACTACCATTGCAGCACACACACACACACACATCCCATGGTCATGTGACCAAAATTAAGATGTTTGGCAACTGGTTCATATTAATGATGGTTGCTGTGTCCCAAGATATATGATCACCTTTTGCGACTTTCTGACAAGCAAAGTCAATGGGATAGGCAGATTTACTTAACAACTGTGATACTAACTGAACAACTGAGGCAAGAAAGGTCATAAAATGGGGTAAAGCTCACTTAACAACTGTCTTCCTTGGCAATGGAAATTTTGGGTCCAGTTCAACTGTGGTGGTGAGTTGAGGGTGATCTGCATATTCCAAAGTCCATTTAAATACCTTTCCTCTTTAAAAATGTACTTTAAAGCTCACAGATTCTCCTTGGAACTGGCAGCCTTCATTTATAATTTTATTATATTTCTAATCTAATTGATAATGTAATTTTCTGCACAGATTAAAAAAAGCTAAATCAATAAAGGTTAAACCAATAGAAAGCGGTAACACAACTGCATTAGGAAAATAAATATATGAAAGTCATGATCCTACATTATGTAGGCATGTCAGATGATAAATTGAGCCATCCAAGCAGGGGCAGCCAACCTTGGCAACTTTTTAAGATTTGTGAACTTCAACCCCCAGAATTCCCCAACCAGATGAAGTCCACAAATCTTAAAAGTTGCCAAGATTGGACACTCTTGCAACAAAATCTAAAATATGTGAAAAGCTAATTAAATTTTTGAGCCAGAGTTCAGCTCTTAAGCACCTGTTCTTAGGATCAAGTGATAGCATCAACATCTGTAGAGCAGTAAAAAAAAAATTATATCTTCAAATATGTACCCTCTTTCCTTTAAGAAAAGTTAAATGTTTCCTAAATCTTCACAATGGCAGCGTTTGTATACATTTTCCCATGATTTTCTTAAATAGAGTAGGCATAATTCTTCTAGTTTGCCCAACAGACTGATCCCTGTCCACATAGATGCAGGTGGGAAACTGATCAGGTAAAAAACATTTCGAAGCAATTTAATCTGAAATATAGTGTCTATAATAAGGAAGCGACTTTAATGTTTGAGTGTGGGTTTGAACCCGATCTCTGCAGTTTTCCAGCACCCTAACCATTACCTGGCACTTGAAGTACAATTGAGACAACCTTTTTGTCAGGTTCATAAGGGTCCCTGTCACTAGTTCCATTAATTCAGAGTGTATAAAAGACATTAAATAAAAGGTGTATTTGAACGCACGCAGAGTGCATTTCTCTTAAAGCTGAGTTATCACAACTCTTCCCCACTCCACTCAACAGTTTTCATCACTGCTCAGGGGAAAAACATTATTACAACATAAGCTGTACATTTCTAAGCACTTCCAATTTTGTTTTAATTCAGCAGTGGGGGGGGGGGAGAACAGGTTGGGCCATGTGTCAAGTTATTTTCTATCACTGTGTGCAATCACAGCCTGGCATCCTGGGACGAAGTCATACATTGCCTCCAGGGGAAGGTCAAAAGAGGCAAGGTGGCTAATGGGACCTCTTCACTTGTTGCTTTAGCAGTTTCAGGATGGTTCCTCCAAGGCATCCCCATGGCTTCCTACAAAACCATTCAGCAATGCCTTATACCAGAATGTCATTTTCTAAGCCAGGGGTAGGCAACCTTGACTCTTTTATGACTCGGGACTTCAACTCCCAGAATTCCTGAGCCAGCCATGCTGAGGGGAAAGGGAGAGGTTTCCAAGCTGAGCCATGCTGGCTCAGGAATTCTGGGAGTTGAAGTCCACGAGTCATAAAAGAGCCAAGGTTACCCACCCGTTCTAAGCCAATATATTTACTGAATTCACATAAAAGGATCTGTCTGGAAATGGAGTGGTAGCAGCTACTTAACTCTTGATCTGAACTAGAAAGTTAGAAATTTTGGGGGAAGAAAAGCTGTTGACATGTAGGGTAGCCTTTCCCTAGATCAGTGGTTCTCAACCTGTGGGTCGGGACCCCATTTGGGGTCGAACGACCATTTCACGGGGATCGCCAAACAACGCAGTCAGCCTTTTTTCCCCCTTTTCCTTAGCTGTGCTACTCCCTTTTATTCTATTGGCTTTTGAAAGCCAATAGAATAGACTCTCTTGAATAGAGTCTAATTCTATTGGCTTTCAAAAGCCAATAGGAATTGTCCAGGCTGTCTCTGCCCTGCTGAGCCCACCAAAAGTCCCATTCTGCAAACGATGCTGCACCAGTTGAGTAGTCCTCGACTTACGACCGGTTGAGTAGTCCTCGACTTACGACCGGTTGGGGGTCGCGGCATTAAAAAGGTTGAGAACCACTGCCCTAGATGTTTTAGGATTCCCACCAAATTACCATATTGCACTCATCATATCCAGCCCACATCCATCGGAATTGGGCTGGGCTTACCTAGTGTGCTAAGTCATAACATGGTTTGTTTTTGGCACAGTGTGGTGAGCTAATCTAGTCACTTTCATGTATTAAGTAAATAGGTTATATGTGACTACAGAGTAGAATTTACAGGAATAGGTGATCCATTGCTTGACACAGGGTCTGAGTTCACATATCTTGTAAACCAACATGTTGGCTTAGCACAGCTTTGATGAACTCAAGTATTATAGTTTATTAAAAAACTATGGTTATAACAAGCCATGGTTTAGTACAATAAATGAATTCAGTCAGCAATATACACTTTTGTGCATTCCTAATAGGGCTGCCAACCATTTAAGTAAATGCTGATGGTTTGGGATAAGGGTGCAGATGAGGGAAGAAATCCAGGTTCAATTATACCCTCAGCTGCTAGAAGCTCATTTGGTGCCTTTTTGGCCAATCCACCTTACTCATCCTCTCCTAAGTCACAAGGCTGTTCTCTCAAAAATCAAAGGAGAGACTACTACTATGTTCATCCCTTGAGCAACTAGAAGAAATGCCATATAAACGAACTACTCATCAATTTTAGTCTTACTTAGACTGGCCTATAATTTGATGTAAGAAAGATTATGTTCTTCAATTATGCATAGATGCACCCCTAGCAGACATCTCAGAAGGGATATTCTTCTTGTATGCCAGTGTAGGGAAAATTAGTTTTAAAAAACACATACCTTTGCAATCTGTGATTTTTACAAACAATTATTTGATGTTCTATCCCCCATATTGAATAATTACACCATGGACCAAGCTGGTGCCCTGCAGATGTATCATTCTTCACCCTCCCCAAGGAGCGTGGTTGATGAACAGAGATGACGAGAGATATCATCCTGTAGTTCTGGAGGGTCCAGGTTAGGAAAGAGAGTAAGATCCAATGCTGGCAAAATTTCAGGAAAACAGTGAGAGGAGTCCTCGATCAAGAACAGAATTTTTCAACTTTAGCAATTCCAAGATGTATGGACTTCAACTTTCAGCAATCTTTCAACTCCCAGCAATGCCAGTTAGGGAATTCTGGGAATTGAAGTCCACCATATCTTGGGGTTGTCAAGGCTGTGAAACACTGGTCTGGAGCATTGGCTAACTTCTGGAGTGGGAGTGGGGAATGGACATTGAGGGTGAGTGGGAGTGGGGAATGTATTGAGGGTGAGAAAATCAAAGAGAATTCCCAGGGCAAGGCCTCTCTGCCACACACACCGGTCCTGCCCTCCCTAGTTTGTCCCTTCCTGCAGGGCAAAGATTCCTTTTTCTACTGGAGGTGTCTCCAGGCAAGGGGTAGTCAGTCTCTCCATCAATTTTTTCAGAGAGCAGCCTTGTGACTTAGGAGAGGTTGAGTAAGGTTGACTGGCCAAAAAGGCACCCAATGAGCTTCTAGTAGCTGAGGGTGGAATTGAACCTGGATTTCTTCCCTCATCTGCACCCCCTACCCCAAACTATCAGCATTTACTCACATGGTTGGCCGCTGCCCTATTAGGCAATGCACAAAAGTGTACATTGCTGACCAAATTCATTTATTGTAAGCAGTGGTGGGATTCAAATATGTGAACAACCGGTTCTCTGTGTGGAAGTCTGTTCTGGGCCTAGGCAACAAAAAATTAGCTGCTAGTTCTGCTGAACTGGCTCAATCCCACCACTGATTGTAAGGGGATGAAAGGGGGGTGGAGTTTGTCAGTATTTCCCACCAACACTTCTCTTGTGTCTTTTCCTCCTTGTTCAGATACTGGGATGACTTCCACTCCTGCACCCTCACAGCCCTCACGGATTGTCAGGAAGGGCTGACAGATGTCTGGGAAAAACTGAAAGAGAAATCCAAAAAGCTCGACTACGAAGGCAACCTATTTGTCCTCTGCGGCAAAACCAACCGAGCAGCCTCGTCCCTCCTAGCCTCTGCCTCCCCGGTGCTGTTGGTGGCTCTTTCCGCAGCGCTGGCAACTTGCATCTCCATGTAGAAGGCCCTTCACGTCAACAGCATCAACAGCACGCGGTCCACACGACACAGAATCCTCCCCCACCTCCTTCAGCCCACCACCCTTCCCTCCTCCGCCGTTTCTCTCTTTCTCCAAGACGTGGATTTACAAGAGGAAACATCTCTGCCCCTTGGCTTGGGGTGGAGGGGGGGAGCTTCCCCTCCCCCAAAATAATGGGGCAGGGGGAAACGCCATTGTGAAGTCTCCGTGATGCTGGTGACCCCAACATCCATCTTGGGGAAGGACTGGGGGGGAAAAGAGAGAGAAACGGAAGCCATCACGACCAACTCGGTCTCTGCTCGCTCGCTCTTTCTCTTTCTCTCTCTCTCTCTCTCTCATTTCTTTTTTGCGTTCAGATGATTTGCCAAATGGTCCCCAACGGCGGCGAGCAAGCAAAACAGCCAAACTCGGACCTCAGCTTTAGTTCCCTCTCTTCAGATTAAGGTCAACTCAAGCCCTCTTTTTCGTGTGTGCGTGTGCGGGTGTGGGTGTGGGTGGGTGCGTGCGTGCGTGGGTGCACCAAGAATCTCAGGAACGGCTTCCAGCCACCACCGATTACTAATAAAGAGTTAATAGGTAATAATAATAATAAATAATAGTAACGATAGTAATAAAATAACGCTACTAATAACACTACTCACGGGAACGAAAGGGGAGCTCAGCTCTTCCCCTCCGGGGGAAGGTGAAAGCCTCTCTTTGGCAGGTTGAATTGAGCTAGAAAGCTGGAAGGGGGAGGAAGCGCAACCGGAAATGGAGCCACCTGAGCCGGAGCACGTGGGTTGAGCGGCTTTCTTAAGGGGATGAACTCACCGACGTTTGATCGTCTCGCCTCGGAAACTCTTTGTCGTTTTACTGATTTGTTTTCGATATTCCCCTCCACCATCATTTCACTTCAGAGAACCATGAACTCCCTTCCTCGATGGGTGGCGGAGGAGGGAGGAAGAAGGGGGAAAAAAGGGGGCGGAAAAAGAAGTGGAAAAAAAACAAAACCAACCAAAATGCGGTTTTAGCTCAAAGAAGCGCCCCGTGGAGTGCTGCTAAGTATCGCGGAAGGCTGAGCTTGAACCGTCAAAGCATCCTTCAAAGTCTTCACTGCCTTTTTTTCCCCCGTTGAATTTCTCTTCTCTTTTTTTAAGAGTTGTCCCTCTTCTTTTGTAGGTGTTTCACCATTATTGGCTATCCAACAGATCACAGGGGAGGGGGAAAAAAAGGGGGGGGGGGAAGAAAGGTATATGTTAACGTTACAAACACAATAACAAGCGAACACACGACCTAAAGGTTCTGTGGGAGGAGTATGTTAAAAGAACCTTGATTTTAAAAGAAAAGAAAAAAAAAACAAATGTAATTTAAGAAAGTTTATTATAAAGGCAATGCAGCAAAAAAATAATAATAACATAAAAGATTTGCTACAAAGTATAGAAAAAAGGTATAAAATAAAATTATTGTTTGAAATGAGGATGCAGTTTTTATTTTCTGGAAACGAGGTTGTCTCTGAGTATAAAAAACAGCAATTTTCAAGAAAACGAGCAATATCGGAGGATCCACTAAAGGGCGCCTGATTTCTTTTTTGGGGGGGGAATGGCGTAAAATTTATCGATCTGGGGAAAGCGGGAACGAATCACTTTCGAAACCAGCGAACTCTGGAGAGTTTCGCTGACCTGCCCGAAAGAGCTTTGGGGATGTTGGACGCTTATTGGATGATAGAGCGGTTTTGCCCCTTTCCTGTCCCCCCCAAAAGGAACTGACGTGAACAAAAAGAGGGGAGAGAAGCCATTCCCACGGCTTCTTCTCTGCTCGCTTGGTTTGTCTCTTACAAGGCCGTCCCCTTGCCAAGTGGCGCACTGCGATCCTGTGGCCACATGAAGGAAGGAGCCCGGCTGAAACTCAACCCAGATGTAAGATCGCAGTGGCAAGCCCAGTGGTATTTAAGTGTATTCTCACAAAAGGAGAAACCGACAATACAGCGCATCCCCTTCTTCAAACGAATGGCGCCTCAAAAAGGGGACCCTTTGCCTTCGGTTCAAAGCTTGGCTCCCCCGGTTCTTAGCCTACCGATTTCGAAAATCAGTTTTTATCAATTTCACCGAACGCCTTCTGTTATCTGTGCGTTGCCTTTAGCTGGGAGTAGGGAGCATTTTTTTAAGGGGGGGGGGTTGACTCTCGAACAAAGTTTCAAGCGTTTCGTTTGATCTATTTTAAAAAGACCCCCCCCCTCGTTGCTTACCATAAACATTTGTTTAAACTACGTGGGTATTTTGTCACATTTACCCCCCTCTCACCTTGAAGCTGTCTAGGTGAATCCGGGCAGGGTGATGGAGAGGGGGGGGGGGAATTGCAACCCGCACCTATCTGGAGGGCCTTTTAAGTTCAACAAAGTCACCTTAAAAAACCTCCGATCCACGTGCGGCGGAGTCACCTCAACACACCTATCTTTAGTTTCTCGCCCTGTTAAATTTAGCTCGCGCGTGTCCTGAGATTTCGTTCGCCTTCCCGGACGGGCAGAAGCGCGAGAAGCTAAATAAACAAACAACTTCACCTTTCTCTAAATTTCTCCCCCCCCCCCTTTCCTCCACTCCCTCGATTTCCGAGGCGGTGGGGAAGGGAGAGAAAGGCGACCTAACATTACCCGGCCTTGGGGAGGAAAGCCGGTCTGGAGAGCGCTTCTATAATTCATAACGCAGCTCCGCTCCAGCTGCGGCGGGCGAGAGGAGGTGGGCTGTTATACCGTATCGATCCGGCGGCAGAAACTGCTCTGAACTCGCCTATTTATAGCCCTCTGCGCCCTCCAGAAAGAAGCCGGCACCAACGCGTAAATCAGAGGGGGCCGGTCTCTTCTTTCACCCAAAGTTGTTACCAGGATCATAAGAAGGGGGAGGAAGAGGGGGGGGCTTTATTTGGCTCTTCGTTCGAGGGGAGGGGGGCTTTCGTTTCCAAGCTGGTGCACGTACAGATGTGGGTACGCGCGTCCACGCGCCCAAAGTGTGCCAGGTGTGGCCCTCCGCCCTATCCTCTCCAAGGAGCGACGCGCGCTCCCGGTGTAAGCGAGAGCCAGGCGCGAAGGCGCCATAAATCAATCGGGCGCTGCTTTCCCGACGGATTGAATCGCAGCCCCGCAAATGTGCCCGGGAAATGGAGCCAAGGCGACGCCAGCTTGGCACACGCGGCCGATTCTGCGCGCTCTTTTGGGGAAGGCTCGCAGAAAACAAGAACCCCCCCCCCCGCGGCCGTTGCTCAAAGCCAGGAGCGCGGGCGGCGCCGGACTTCTCCAGGAGACCTTCTCCTCCTGCGCGCCCCTCGCCTGCCTGCCTTGCGGGACTCGCGGCTTGTCTTTTCCCTCGGAGACGGCAAGCGGGGGTTTCTTGGCTTTAAAAAAAAGAAAAAAGTGATCGGCGACAAGGGAGGACTCGATTGGAAACGAAATGCGATACTCGCCGAAAGTCTAGGATTCCCCACTCCTTCCCCAAAACGTGCATTTATTAGATTCGTTGCTGAGAAAGGTCCTCCCTCCCCTCGCCTATTCTTACTGTCGTAAATTCAGAGCGGTTATAACACAGGGTAGGTGGAAACCCGAGCCAGGCCGCCCATCGTAGAACTGGAAAAAAAGCTACAGAGCAGTTTTCCACTGCTACACTGATGTGCCTAAAATCAGGTTGTATTAACAAGCGTGCCAGCAATAATTGGTTCACGAGAGTTTGGCAAGGGAGTCTTCTCAAACGCTCCTGCCAGGGATGGGCAACCGAACACGCGCCAGATGCTTTGGCCTCCCATCATCCACACCCTTTTCCCGCAGCCAACTACTGGAGTTATGGGGGTTGTAGTCCAACTCCTTTGGAAGTCTCTGGAGTGTCTCCTTTGATGAGATTGGATCGCCCTTAAGATGCAGGCGTCTCCTCGTTATTTTCCCTGCACTTCGAGGCGTTTTCTACTAATGCTGATAAATGTTATTATTGAAGAGAAGGATGATTGTATCCTAATAGCCCACTCCATCTCCCACGCACTCATAAACTGAATTGGTTGGTTTTTTTAAAAAAAAAAACTACATTTTTTTAAAAAGCGCTTCCTCGCTGGCTTTTTTTTTTTTTTTTGTGTGTGTGTGTGTGTGTGTGTGTGTGTATTTACTTGCATCCCATCTCCCCCATTCCGAAGCTTCTTTATGTGGCGGGAAAAAAAAAAAAAGAGTCGAATCCTCCTGAGTTAATCAGGACGGAAGATTTTTGGTCGGCTATCTTGTGTCACCCAGGTCCAGGATATTAAACTGACGATCTAAAGATCCCTAAGGAATAAAGTGCACGATTCCACTGACTGGAAAGTAGATCTCGCCCCCTCCCCAAATAGTCCCGGGAGGAGAGCCAAGCGAGAGGGAGAGGAGGGGTACCTAACACTGATCTGTCTGGTGGGGGGGGGGAGGTAACTTTTATATTTTAAAAGGAAGTTGGAATAGGTTAAAAAAGGGGGGGAGGTATTTTTCCCGGACTCTCCCTGCTTGGCTGAATCCAAGCAGCCGCGGCTTCCTTTTTCCTGATTTCCGAGCGCCCAGGAATTATGAATTATGAATAGCTTTGCTCGTTCATCCTCTCGTAATAAGCAGCCCGCGATTGCCCCGAAGGGTCGCGTCTCCTGTGCCTGCGTGCCTGGCTGCCTTTTACAAGAAAATCTGACAGAAACGGCGGCACACAAAAAATGCTCCGTCTCCTCCTCAGCAAGAAGCCTCGTGGGAAGCTAGCTGGGTCCGTCTGGGGCGGAGGGCGGAGGGCCCTGGGCTGGGCGCCGCCTTTGGGACAGCAGGAGGCCGACGGACGGCTCTTGTCCAGGGATCCGCCCTGCTGCTCTCCCGGGAAATCTCCCCGGCAGTCCGCTGTTATTTCCATCTGCCTCGTAGGCCTCTGTGACTTGCAGGATCGACAAGCCTCGGCTTGCTGGCATCTCTCTCCTTTTGAAATGTGAGAGGAAAAAAAAATAACAACAATAATAATAAAGTACCCGCAGGAATAATAAAAGACCAGAACCGGCAGCGCCACAAATCAAGGTTGCAGGGTGGTTAAATAAACTCACCTAATCCGGACCTTAAAGCTTGCATTTATTTTCTATGAATAGAAGAGGGAGGGCGGATGAGATTGGGCAGGGTGGAAGAAATAAGAGTGTTTGTGGGTGGAAGCCGTCTGCTTCCTGCCTTTCCGTAAACAAAGGCGTTGCCCACCATGTATCTTAGGGAGAAAGATGAGAGGAGCACATCCAAGGCTGGCCAAAACAACATTTCAGATTAAGGAAGAAGCAAACTAGGCCCTTAAAAAAACTATCGTCTGGATTTCCAGGCCAAGGGAGTAGGCCAGGGGTAGGCAACCTTGGCTCTTTTATGACTCGTGGACTTCAGCTCCCAGAATTCCTGAGCCAGCTATGCTGGCTCAGGAATTCTGGGAGTTGAAGTCCACGAGTCATAAAAGAGCCAAGGTTGCCTACCCCTGGAGTAGGCAGTAGGGCAAGGTTCTTGCTTTCGGAAGGAAAGAACTTCCCCTTTCCAATAAGACCAATATTAAAATCTTAACTTTTAAATTACGCTTTACAACCTTCCTGGCTCCCTTTTTGCCACTATTGCAGATACCCAGCACAGATCAAGCCTTCCCATTCGATTCCCCTGCAGATATGTTGGAAGCAAGCTGGGGAAAGGCTGCCTGGAAGGAAATGAATTGTTAGGGTTTTTGTTTGTTTGTTTGTTTGTTTCCCTTCATCAAATTGGGCTTGGCTCCGTCTCCTTTCCCCCCCTCTTTCCTGAAATATTTTCAGCAGGCCTATGATTCAGGGATGATGGATGGCCATCTGCGTGTGTGTGTGTGTGTGTGTGTGTGTGTGTGTGTGTGTGTGTGTGTGTGTGTCATTTTGTACAGCCCTGCACAAGCAGGAAGATGGCCCAGAGGCTCTATAAACCCTCCCCAACCTATAGATAGAGAGATAGATCCTAGGCGTCTCAAACTTTTCTTTCAGAAGTTTGAGACAAATTGTTCGTATAAGGAACAACCAAAAGCTTTAAAAGACTAAGAAACCCTTTTGGAATGGAAACATGAGCTCCTTCAAGAATACATTTAATAAGGACATATTTTCCCCACCCACAATGAAAGGGTTGCCTTGGTTCCCACTGAAAAAGAATTAAGGGGTACAGTTTGACTGTGTTCTCTGATCTAGCCAGCACCTTCTGTGGAGAAATAGTTCCTGAACTGAACATTTATTTTTTCTAAAACATACAATTCCAACTCTGATGATACTGTTCATGAATGAGGGTGAATTGAACCAGGGTGCTGACATTTTGACTGGGCTACTACTATGGGGACAACTATGACTTTTACAAATAGATCTTGAAATCATTCTCACAGGGATTACATTCCAGCATAATTTAGATTTTTATTACATTGAACAACATAACCCTTTCCATTATTTAATATCTGTGCCATATAAAACCAACC